TACTTATCGACTTGAAGAAATGCAGAAATGCGGAATCTGCAGAAATGCCGAAAGTGCGGAAGTGTGCAGAAATGCCGAAAGTGCGGAATGTGCAGAAAAGCAACCGATACGTATCGATTTTCCGCACTTTCGGCATTTCTGCAGATTCCGCACTTCTTCACTTTCGGCATTTCTGCATTTCTTCAAGTCGATAAGTATCTATTGCTTTTCTGCAGATTCCGCACTTCTGCACTTTCCGCACTTCTGCATTTTCCGCATTTCTGCATTTCTTCATGAACGCAAGCTATGAAGCGCGGCCTTATTACGGACAATGTGCCGTTGTGGAATGTCTGTCAACTCATCGAAAAATGACTTTGGATAGATAAAACGACGACTGACCACATTGTAATCTCTCATGTGGCAAACAGCAGAATATCTGTTAATCGTAATGAGCATATTTCCGAACATATGCGCGACGAAGGTCGCACTAGTGACTGCGACACATGCCAGCAGGATATCATGGAAATCTTCACCCAAACCAACTTCACGGTTGAATCGTACAAACCAACACGAGATAAGAGATGCAATGTCAGCAAAACCTTGAAAGAGTTTCAAAATATGCTACAAAAGGTTATTAAAACGGAGCGAATCCGGTCGGGATGGTTTCAACCTTGAAAGAGTTTTAAAATGTGCTACAAAAAGTTTTAACGGAGCAAATCCGGTCGGGATGGTAACTCACCGAACCCTGTGCAGGTAAGGAAGTGAATTATTGTGAAGTTAACCCATGACTTACATGCACCTTTTTGCAGCTTCAAATCTACACATTTCATCAAAAATAAGGCATTCTAGTCAACATGGATTAGCAAGGTGGCAAAACGCCCTTCTGAAGCCGAGCAGCGCCTGATAGAATTTTTCTCGCATATAAACTCCTGTGACTGTAGCTGCTGGAATTGAACAACGCTCGGCACCTTGCCTATATTACGTAAAAAAAGAAAATGGCGGAATATCCGCCCTGCATTTCATCCTTCACTTTGACCTCACTTATATTATGTTGTAACGAGACTCCTGCGACACTCCAGATCACAGATTTTGGCCAAATTTCCCTTCACTGGGCGACACCTCCAATCCGAAAGGTGATCACCATTGATAACGAGGAATAGTGCCCACCTTTCACATAGCCTTTCGATACCACCCTCGCACGTACGGCAACTACATAGAAAGAAGAGGTTGACCTAATTTCAGAGTACACGTTGTTTTTAAAATGCTCGCCTTTGAGAAACGCAGTAGGGGTCAGTGGTATCCAGAGGCTGCTACTAAGGCTGGTATGGTCGCGTTCTGTGGGCGAGATCCATAATCTTTTTGCGCAGTACACTAGCTTTGCATTGCAGAGCAGTATAGAGAAACTGAGTGTTTCCGGAAGGGATCAAGCGTGACGTCGTCTATGCTTTTAGGTTGACTGGAGTAGATTAGTGCCATTACTGCTCGGTCAGTATATAGTTAGACGCATTGGACTCCCACCAATAACACAGTGAATCTTTCTTCCATGCACATCTGCTTTTGGCTGCGCGGGCGACTTTTCTTCTTGAGGAATCCAGTGAAGAATATCTGCATACAAGGGAGCCACCTCTTGTTACCGAGAAGACTGTCTTTCGAAAATTTCTTTCTGTGTCTACTGAGAAGAAAAAAACTTAGTCACGACCATTCGATGCGCATTTAAGAATGGTGCTACTCATGTGACATCCTTTACAGAGAATTTTCCCTGTAACTATCGCGATAAGCATATCAGTTGTCAATTAGGTGCAGCCTAGAAATGTTGCCAAAGTGCTACTGGTCACGTTCAACTGCGCCACCAGAGAGACGTAGACGACTGCCATTCTGCGCTGGTGGCGAACCTATACGTTGCTCATTTTCGAATGAAAAACTCTACCTTGCAAAAGTTGATATAAAGTGAAACTCTGTCATGACTAGTGCAATTGAATTAGTTGCAAGGACAGAATTTTGAAGGACACGGCGACGAGGCACTTTAAGGAAGGGGAAAGGTAGTTGCGGGTGAGGTGAGGGCTGCTAATGTAGGGACCGACCTTTATATCTCTTGGACTTTTATACAATTAGCCTCCTCCCCGCCCCCCCCCCCAGGTAGCAAAGAGCCGTTGGTTTCAGCGCGGATCGACTCCAGGATTTACAAGCCGCCCCCCCAGACCCCGGTTGTGGTAAGCTGGGCGCACTGTGCCACTACACTATGCCCGCTTAACCGAAAATTAAATTGAAACACTTCCAGCGCAAAGTGCTTTTAATGCGAGTGAAAATCCATACAGTTTACTGATGTAGCCAGCATTCGATCAAAGCCACAACTAAAACCTAAGAAGACCGCTGCTCATCGCTAAGTGTTGGGACTTGACCTGCAGCTGCAAGGGTTTGCCACTCTGTGAGCTCAAAAGTCAGACAGCGATGGGGGGAGAGATGCCTATACGTTGCGTCCCGTTTCTGCCGCACGGCGGGCCCACACAGGTTAGCATGGCCAAATACGCCCCTTGTCTGCACCGTCTCACCAGCTGAATGCGTGTGTACTGCACGATTTCGGTATTGACGCAAGTGTTGAACCTCGAGGACAACGTGGGCGGAATCGGCATCCGTACGTCACTATCTATCTGGTGTGAGGTTGCACTTGTACAGCTGCCAATCCGTTCTTGTCGTACGGAACCGTAATGGGAACCTACAGTTTCTGAGTACTACAGAAGCCACCTCTAGAGACTAGAAGCTGCTTACGAGTTGTGTAAGCAATCAATGCATTGTTGGTAAAACTAGACTCCTACCACTTTAGCACCCTTTTGCAGTCTGATAGTATATTGATTTCGCGTATGTCATCAATATTCTATCTTTCTTCATGCCCTATTCGACTGATCAACAGAGAAAACCTTCCTAAACTTCAGGGGAGTAGGCCGTACCTGCCGTGTGAAAGCTGTTCCTGATTGCCGATTTTTTCCGTTTTACGCGTACTCATCTAGCTCTCCTGCATCCCTGTAATCACACCCCAATGTCCTTCCACTACGGCAAGGTTTAGAAAGATATGTAAGTGGTCAGCTGTGATGTACAAAAGGGAAACTTCAAGAATGGTGACATTTAGCAAACTCTCTCTTAATGAGCCTTGAAAGGAGTCGAAACGAAAAAGGAATGCGTGCTAAAAAGCTCACCTGTTGCAACGTATATTGAAAAGAACGCACTCTTGAATTCTTTCGCTTTAGATGTGATAATTACAGTCAGAACAAATGAATAACATAGGACAAGCAACGCTTCTGCGGTAGTTTGGAACACGTTGTGCGCCATGTTCTTCTTAAGAGCAAAGGAAAAAAGATTCATCAATTATTATATGCATACTGTACTTGTTTTGTGCAGCTGCTGGAGCAGGGAGCTGGGTTGGCGCGAAACCAACGCATTAGATCATTTGCGGAGAAAAGCAAAGAGAATCGGTGGAAAAGAGATTAAAAGATAACCAGTTTGTTAGAAAAAGTTTTATAGTGCTCAGTAACATATGAATTCCATATGCGATGTGAGCCCTTCCTGGAGCTTATTATTGTACTAGCTGGGGAACACGTCTCCTCCTCCTGCTGTCGGTTTTTGAGCAGGGAATTCTGGTAACTGAACATAGAATCTTAAATGGAGACCTGACTCGATAACATACATAGCAGTCAGTCAGGAAGGCAAACCGAGTCCGCTCTCCATTGCCTTGCTGTACCAGTGGTGATTGATAGTGATCGATTAGAGAGGAAACAACCAGCGGTGGAAGTGGTGCGGGTTGGCTCCTTCAAACCTTTTCGGAACCGTCTCGACTAATCGGAGCGATACCAGCTGTTTCTTGATGGAGTCCAAAAGGTTGCTCACAAGTATGAAAACCAAACGGATATGACACCGAGTCAAGAGCAAGGCAAACTCAGCTATGTAACGAACTCATCAGCAATCCTTGCTAGAGTGGAGGTCGGACGTTTTTACGTCAACTAGATGTGATATCCGCTTTCGAGAGGTCTGATTGCTCCTAGGCACGGATTCCTAGCCGGATCGAGATTTTGACCCACACTTCGAAGCAACCTAGTTAGAGGCACTCGGTACAATGATTCGATTCACCCTCTGAAAAGGAGCAAAGGCGTTGAGTGGTACGGATGGAGTGAGATCTCTGTTCCCTCGATAGCAGCAAACAGCAGGCGCGTTTGCTTGCTTGGATGAGTTCTTGTTTAGTTCTGACAGAAGCCAGCAGTTCGGTTCACTCGATAGTTCCTGTCCCAGTGAAGTCCCAGCCTTTAGTGGCGCAATTACATCCAGCCCAGGCACGCACGCGAAGTCGTCCGCATCGTGCTCTGATAGGCTATGCGGTCAACTGTGGGCGGGTGGTTTCCGCAGTCTTTCGGGTCGCATTTTGTAGCTCGGTAAGGCTATAAGGATACCTTCCTTAGGGAGGGCGCGAGGCAGCGCCCGCTCAGGAAGGCCGGATTCTTCCCTACAGGCTTTTCTATCCTACAACTCCTTGGGGATAGTGTTACTCACCTGTGAGGGTACGTGGTGGTCACACAACCTATCCTCACAAGTGGGTACCTTACCACTGCACAGGTACTTATCTCTACAATGTGCAGAAAGCAGAAAAAGAAAACGTTCAAAAGAAAAAGAGGGAAAAAAGAGAGCCGCCACATGTTTCAGAAAACCATTGAGTGGCGGCATATTCGCTGTGAAAAACGATTACAGACTTGTAATCGCATTTCAATGTATGTCTGACGACGACAATAGGTGAATGAAATCAACAACACTGTCAAGACTACCCTTGACAAGATGAGTGGTTCATGAAGCTGCTTCAGTTGCAGTGTTAGAATCTTCTATTTGACGTGTATCAGGTCAAATACTCGTCCTGCTGACGCTGTTAAAGCGCTACTTTGAAAGAATATCATGGACGGGATGAAATCTTTTACACGTCTGCGATTTGGTTGAGCGCGATGACGGTTTACCCTTCATCAACTTTTGCGTAGTCGTAACGCACCTTCGATCAACCCTTTGAGCTTTCATGCCGCCTAGTAGGAAATTCATACATAGCTCGCGTGAAAAGGGGAACTCAACAACAACTACAAAGTGGAAGAGAAGGAAAACTGTATGGTGCTTTCAACGCAGAAATTTGCGAGGTGGTTTTCTTCAAAACACGACAGACTGAGAACACACCTGTTCTTGAGGCTGAAACGGTTCCGATCCTTCAGCGGCCGAATACGACCCTGTCCGTTGTGTTGCATTAGGGATGTGCTATGCTTGATTACAAAGTTGGTTCTTGTTCAGAACACGACAGACTGAGAGCTTACTTGGTAAGCTTTACGGTCACTATTCAGCTCGTGTCGCCATGTGACGTTGTTTGCCACTTTTGGCAGGTAATTGTAACGTCATTGCGTAATTGCTAATAATATGGTAGCGTGATTGTGCCACTTTCGAAGCATTAAAGAACGGCAATATTTACTAATCCTAAGCTCAGCTTAACATGCTCGGGTCACAATCGTCCAGACTTCTGCTTAACGAAGAACTGTACACTCACCCCGTAGGCGGTGGTAGCGAGGTGAATGGGTCTGCAGCTGTAGTAGCATACCACTTTCTCCGCTCAAGTAAGCATGGGAACGGGGTTGAAGGGTGCAGAT